CGCACTCATCAGACCCATCCTCGAATATAACTCCTTGGCTTGGTTCCCATACTATTCTTATCAAATTCAAATGCTTGAAGGTGTCCAACGAAAGTTTTTAAAATACTTACATTTTAAGACTGAAAAGGTGTGGCCTGAGAGAAATTATCCGCATCAAGTTTTATTGCAAAACTTTAATTTCAAATCCCTACACAGTCGAAGAATTGCTGCCGCCCTAATTTTTTTGTATAAGACAGTTAACAGTAAAATTACTTGTGAGCGAATCCTTAAAGAACTTAATTTTCTGGTTCCTAGGTTAAATAGTAGGTTTTCAACCACACTTTATTGTAAAGCTCCTCGTACCAACATAGGAAGAAAAGCCCCTTTGTATGTAATAAGCTTTTATCTTAGTAAATTTGAAAGAGAAACCGATTGTGACATATTTTATTGCAAACTGCATGAGTTGAAAAGATGTATTCTAGAAATTTTCAATTAGTAAAATTTAGTTTTAGTTTTCATATTAATATTATTTATTTCAATTGCAGGATTTGAATTTTTGTATTAGAATAAGTTATTATTATACTTTAAAATACTCTTTTGATGAATAATTTTAGAATATTTTAGAATAAGTTATTGTCATAGAGTAGAATTCTTTATTGTTGAATGTTTTGTCCTATTATTGGAAAATATTTTCTGTTGGGCAAATAAACCATATTATTATTATTATTATTATTATTATCTACGAACGCCAGAATGCATAAAATTGACCTAAACGTCTCCTTTTCCTATTCTGAGTCGATTCTGCATGCTTTAAGTGTGTTTGGTGGCTCAGAACCATAAAAAAACGTTGAAATATAGTTCAAATTCAATAAAAATCGACAAAAATACAGTTTCTAGCTAAAATTTGATGGTTTCGTTGCACTTTCCGAGCCCGTAGGGTATCTGAGTGGCTTAAAAGTACAAGAAAACACTTCAAAAGTGACGTTTCTGAAGAATTTTAACAGTTTTCTTGTATCTACGAACGCCAGAATGCACAAAATTGACCTAAACGTCTCCTTTTCCTATTCTGAGTCGATTCTGCATGCTTTAAGTGTGTTTGGTGGCTCAGAACCATCAAAAAACGTTGAAATATAGTTCAAATTCAATAAAAATCGACAAAAATACAGTTTCTAGCTAAAATTTGATGGTTTCGTTGCACTTTCCGAGCCCGTAGGGTATCTGAGTGGCTTAAAAGTACAAGAAAACACTTCAAAAGTGACGTTTCTGAAGAATTTTAACAGTTTTCTTGTATCTACGAACGCCAGAATGCATAAAATTGACCTAAACGTCTCCTTTTCCTATTCTGAGTCGATTCTGCATGCTTTAAGTGTGTTTGGTGGCTCAGAACCATCAAAAAACGTTGAAATATAGTTCAAATTCAATAAAAATCGACAAAAATACAGTTTCTAGCTAAAATTTGATGGTTTCGTTGCACTTTCCGAGCCCGTTGGGTATCTGAGTGGCTTAAAAGTACAAGAAAACACTTCAAAAGTGACGTTTCTGAAGAATTTTAACAGTTTTCTTGTATCTACGAACGCCAGAATGCATAAAATTGACCTAAACGTCTCCTTTTCCTATTCTGAGTCGATTCTGCATGCTTTAAGTGTGTTTGGTGGCTCAGAACCATCAAAAAACGTTGAAATATAGTTCAAATTCAATAAAAATCGACAAAAATACAGTTTCTAGCTAAAATTTGATGGTTTCGTTGCACTTTCCGAGCCCGTAGGGTATCTGAGTGGCTTAAAAGTACAAGAAAACACTTCAAAAGTGACGTTTCTGAAGAATTTTAACAGTTTTCTTGTATCTACGAACGCCAGAATGCATAAAATTGACCTAAACGTCTCCTTTTCCTATTCTGAGTCGATTCTGCATGCTTTAAGTGTGTTTGGTGGCTCAGAACCATCAAAAAACGTTGAAATATAGTTCAAATTCAATAAAAATCGACAAAAATACAGTTTCTAGCTAAAATTTGATGGTTTCGTTGCACTTTCCGAGCCCGTAGGGTATCTGAGTGGCTTAAAAGTACAAGAAAACACTTCAAAAGTGACGTTTCTGAAGAATTTTAACAGTTTTCTTGTATCTACGAACGCCAGAATGCATAAAATTGACCTAAACGTCTCCTTTTCCTATTCTGAGTCGATTCTGCATGCTTTAAGTGTGTTTGGTGGCTCAGAACCATCAAAAAACGTTGAAATATAGTTCAAATTCAATAAAAATCGACAAAAATACAGTTTCTAGCTAAAATTTGATGGTTTCGTTGCACTTTCCGAGCCCGTTGGGTATCTGAGTGGCTTAAAAGTACAAGAAAACACTTCAAAAGTGACGTTTCTGAAGAATTTTAACAGTTTTCTTGTATCTACGAACGCCAGAATACATAAAATTGACCTAAACATCTCCTTTTCCTATTCTGAGTCGATTCTGCATGCTTTAAGTGTGTTTGGTGGCTCAGAACCATCAAAAAACGTTGAAATATAGTTCAAATTCAATAAAAATCGACAAAAATACAGTTTCTAGCTAAAATTTGATGGTTTCGTTGCACTTTCCGAGCCCGTAGGGTATCTGAGTGGCTTAAAAGTACAAGAAAACACTTCAAAAGTGACGTTTCCGAAGAATTTTAACAGTTTTCTTGTATCTACGAACGCCAGAATGCATAAAATTGACCTAAACGTCTCCTTTTCCTATTCTGAGTCGATTCTGCATGCTTTAAGTGTGTTTGGTGGCTCAGAACCATCAAAAAACGTTGAAATATAGTTCAAATTCAATAAAAATCGACAAAAATACAGTTTCTAGCTAAAATTTGATGGTTTCGTTGCACTTTCCGAGCCCGTAGGGTATCTGAGTGGCTTAAAAGTACAAGAAAACACTTCAAAAGTGACGTTTCTGAAGAATTTTAACAGTTTTCTTGTATCTACGAACGCCAGAATGCATAAAATTGACCTAAACGTCTCCTTTTCCTATTCTGAGTCGATTCTGCATGCTTTAAGTGTGTTTGGTGGCTCAGAACCATCAAAAAACGTTGAAATATAGTTCAAATTCAATAAAAATCGACAAAAATACGGTTTCTAGCTAAAATTTGATGGTTTCGTTGCACTTTCCGAGCCCGTAGGGTATCTGAGTGGCTTAAAAGTACAAGAAAACACTTCAAAAGTGACGTTTCTGAAGAATTTTAACAGTTTTCTTGTATCTACGAACGCCAGAATGCATAAAATTGACCTAAACGTCTCCTTTTCCTATTCTGAGTCGATTCTGCATGCTTTAAGTGTGTTTGGTGGCTCAGAACCATAAAAAAACGTTGAAATATAGTTCAAATTCAATAAAAATCGACAAAAATACAGTTTCTAGCTAAAATTTGATGGTTTCGTTGCACTTTCCGAGCCCGTAGGGTATCTGAGTGGCTTAAAAGTACAAGAAAACACTTCAAAAGTGACGTTTCTGAAGAATTTTAACAGTTTTCTTGTATCTACGAACGCCAGAATGCATAAAATTGACCTAAACGTCTCCTTTTCCTATTCTGAGTCGATTCTACATGCTTTAAGTGTGTTTGGTGGCTCAGAACCATCAAAAAACGTTGAAATATAGTTCAAATTCAATAAAAATCGACAAAAATACAGTTTCTAGCTAAAATTTTATGGTTTCGTTGCACTTTCCGAGCCCGTAGGGTATCTGAGTGGCTTAAAAGTACAAGAAAACACTTCAAAAGTGACGTTTCTGAAGAATTTTAACAGTTTTCTTGTATCTACGAACGCCAGAATGCATAAAATTGACCTAAACGTCTCCTTTTCCTATTCTGAGTCGATTCTGCATGCTTTAAGTGTGTTTGGTGGCTCAGAACCATCAAAAAACGTTGAAATATAGTTCAAATTCAATGAAAATCGACAAAAATACAGTTTCTAGCTAAAATTTGATGGTTTCGTTGCACTTTCCGAGCCCGTAGGGTATCTGAGTGGCTTAAAAGTACAAGAAAACACTTCAAAAGTGACGTTTCTGAAGAATTTTAACAGTTTTCTTGTATCTACGAACGCCAGAATGCATAAAATTGACCTAAACGTCTCCTTTTCCTATTCTGAGTCGATTCTGCATGCTTTAATAATAATAATAATAATAATAGGTATATATTTGCCAAACAGCATAAGCCACAAGTAGGCAAAAAAAAAAAACAGGAAATTACAATTACAATTACAATTAAGTTACAACACATAGGGATGCAATTTTCCAGACAAAATCTTAACAATAAAGTGCAAAGAATCGCTGAATCACAGTCACGACAAATTATATTGAAATAACAATGCATTAAATAGACTGGACTTTTGCGAAGTACATTTGTTCTTGCATTAAGATTATAAAAACTTAAGTATAGACGGACTCCTGCTCTTGGAACTAAAAAATTTATGGAGCCTAATAGGTCAGTGCAATCTATTTTAACCCAAACTAAGTTATACAAAAATTTAACAGCTGCAGTTATGCGACGGAATTCGAGTGATTCACAGTTAAACATCTGCAGAAGCTCACCATGGTCGATTCCTCTAGGCGGGTAGAAACCATGAGTTTTAAACATGAGATATTTCAAAAATCTCCTTTGAATTGACTCAATGTGGTGTTTATGGACTACATATATGGGATGCCAAACTAGACTACCATATTCAAGCTTAGGTCTAACTAAAGAATAGTACAAAACCTTCAGAACATGCAAACTTTTGAAATCCTTACAATTTCTATAGATGAAACCTAAGGTCTTATTGGCTGATTTAACCATTTCATTTATATGTGTAGTGAAATTTAATTCACAATCAAATATTACACCAAGATCACGAGATTCCTTAAGTCTATTCAGTGTGTAATTATTAATATAATAGTCATATTGAAGGATATGTATTTTCTTTTTTGTAAACGTCATAACATAACATTTAGCTACATTGAGATGCAGTTTATTGTTGACACACCAAAGATATAGGTTATCCAGATCTTGTTGTAATTGATGACAATCACTTATAGACGCTACAGAGTTAAAAATTTTTAAATCATCGGCAAACATCAACTTATTACATCTAATAATTTCCGGCAGATCGTTAATAAATATAAGGAACAATAGTGGTCCCAAATTTGAGCCCTGAGGGACACCCGATGTAGCCATGAATGGATGTGACTGATGCCCCATATATTCTACATATAGAACCCGATCAAATAAGTAAGATGATAGAAGATGTAATATATGATCATTAAATCCAAGTAAATTCATCTTGTCAAGTAAGATGAATATATCTATTTGATCAAAGGCCTTACAAAAATCTGTGTAAATCACGTCAACTTGACCCCCTGCATCTACACAGTTGGCAGTGAACTGCGTGAAGGTAGCTAAGTTGGTGACTGTACTTCTTTTTTCAACAAACCCATGCTGTAAGGGTGAGATAAAGGATTTAATGCTATTGTAAATGTGTTTATATAGAATCATTTCAAAGATTTTTGCAAAGTTATTAATAATGGCGATTGGCCTGTAATTGCTAATCTGTGCAGGATTGCCCTTTTTAAGAATTGGGCAAATTCTGGCCTGTTTCCAAATAGAAGGGAAGGTAGCACATTTAAGTATTTGATTATATATATGCAGTAACGGTACTGCTAGTACACACGCACAATCTTTAATAACAAAGTTCGGAATAAGGTCAGGTCCTGCAGTAAATTTACTTTTAGTATTCTTGATTGCTATAAGAATATCGTTTTCACTTATCGACGGGGTATCAATGTTCTGGAAATAGTTCGGCGAAGACGACGGATTACCGGGATTAGAAGGCTGATAAACACTTGCAAAGTAGCGCGCAAAGGCATTTACTATAGTGTCTGGAGTGTCATAACATACATCGTCGGCGTCCCTGATAACATTTGGGATTCTAGTTTGATTTTTTTTATTTTGAACAAATGACCATAATTTCGTTGGATCAGTTGAGAGGTTATTTTCCGCGTCAATTATGAATTTCTTGTAAGCTGTATCGATTAGATATTTAGACAATGATCTCAACCGTTTAAATTTATTAAAAAAGAACAACGTACCATACCTTTTATATAATCTATGGGCTTTGGTTTTACGTTTTAAAACCCTTATTATTTGTGGAGAATACCAAGAAGGATAACGATTTTTACTTTGAGCTTTACTAACATGACGCAATGGTACAGTAATATCGAATATTTCATAGACAGTTTTGTAGAAAAGTTCACATGCCTCAGTAGGATTAGTAGATTCTAAAATGGGGCTCCAGTCAGCGTATAGGAATAGGTTGTACATGCGTGCATAATCAGCCTTTTTAAAATTATATGAAGGATGGCTGTTACTAATTGCAAATTTAGCCTGAGAATGGAATACTTTAAAAAGAAACTGAAGAGCAGGATGATAGGGATCTTCCTTTACAGCAGGATCAGCGCGTAGTACTGAAAAACAATCTATATTGGAGAATACTAGGTCCAAAGAGACATTCAAACAATTGAGTATGTTGTTGTGTTGCGTTAGATTTAAAAAATTTGCATAGTTGTCTAGCGATAAGCATTTAGTGATGTTGGAATCATTACTACCATATTTGGCAACGTTAAAGTCACCCATGATTAAAGTATTCTTATTACACATACAATCTAATACTGCAAGATCCTCCAGAAATTGATCCAGCTCATATGATGAAATATTGGGGGGTACATAAATTACAAAAACATACAAAACACCGCTAGAAAGCGATAATTGACAACCAACTATATCAATAGAGCTAAAAGAATTTCTTAAACCTATAAGATCGAGTGGTGTAGCACAAACACGGTTCGTAACTGCCAACAGAGCGCCACCACCCTTTGAAACACCTAACGCCTGTACATTGCGGTCGCATCTAAGTACAAGATAATTGTGATTAAATAGTTCAGAACTATTAACAGAAGGTTTTAACCATGTTTCTGTCAGTCCGATGAGGTCATAGTCAGTTGAAGTGGTAAAATTATAAAAATCAGTTATTTTCGTGTTTAAACCACGAATATTTTGGTAGAAACAACTTAAGTTCATATAATTTAAAGAAACATCACGGGAGTTATCGTGAGATATTGAGTCACTACGAGAATCCACACTTATGCACTCTTGGTTGGGTCTTCTAAAAAAGTTTTACTACTAAAATTAAAGCGTCTCACTATAATTCCCTCTGGCCAGAAGTCTTCCTTAAGTAAATTATCTTTATAGATAAATTTAACTCCTATTCTGAACGACTGAAATGTTCCTTTCGTTGGTAATTTATCAACTATCACATCTTCTGAGGAAAGTTTTTCACAAATATAAGTTTTTATTTCGTTAATGTTAGTGTCATTGTCCACCTTACCCACATAGTACCACGCCCTTTTTACGTACGAAGATTTAAAGCCTGTGTTTACATCGTTGGTTTTAGATATACCGATTATAGTTGGTTGTTTTTTGCTCCTAATTCGTCTTCGTGATTTTTGTTCAATCCAGGGATTCTCATGACTAGTATCTGTATGGTTCTCTTCATCAACCGTTAGAAACCACGGCTCCTTTGTTTGCTGTGTAATGTCAGTTGGTATTTGTTTATTTTTGTTTTTTGGATTTCTTACGGCGACCTTATCTTGACTTTTTATATCAAACCTCGATATTGGTTGCTTGGGTTCGTTTTTATGGGCAACACTCCCGTACGTATTCTCTGGATCCATGAGGTTCTTCTTAGGTAATGCTACAGCTTCCTCCTTCCGGTTGCTGACTTTTTTCTTGTCGTTTGTGAATAATCGAATTAGCTAAAATTTGATGGTTTCGTTGCACTTTCCGAGCCCGTAGGGTATCTGAGTGGCTTAAAAGTACAAGAAAACACTTCAAAAGTGACGTTTCTGAAGAATTTTAACAGTTTTCTTGTATCTACGAACGCCAGAATGCATAAAATTGACCTAAACGTCTCCTTTTCCTATTCTGAGTCGATTCTGCATGCTTTAAGTGTGTTTGGTGGCTCAGAACCATAAAAAAACGTTGAAATATAGTTCAAATTTAATAAAAATCGACAAAAATACAGTTTCTAGCTAAAATTTGATGGTTTCGTTGCACTTTCCGAGCCCGTAAGGGTATCTGAGTGGCTTAAAAGTACAAGAAAACACTTCAAAAGTGACGTTTCTGAAGAATTTTAACAGTTTTCTTGTATCTACGAACGCCAGAATGCATAAAATTGATCTAAACGTCTCCTTTTCCTATTCTGAGTCGATTCTGCATGCTTTAAGTGTGTTTGGTGGCTCAGAACCATCAAAAAACGTTGAAATATAGTTCAAATTCAATAAAAATCGACAAAAATACAGTTTCTAGCTAAAATTTGATGGTTTCGTTGCACTTTCCGAGCCCGTAGGGTATCTGAGTGGCTTAAAAGTACAAGAAAACACTTCAAAAGTGACGTTTCTGAAGAATTTTAACAGTTTTCTTGTATCTACGAACGCCAGAATGCATAAAATTGACCTAAACGTCTCCTTTTCCTATTCTGAGTCGATTCTGCATGCTTTAAGTGTGTTTGGTGGCTCAGAACCATCAAAAAACGTTGAAATATAGTTCAGATTCAATAAAAATCGACAAAAATACAGTTTCTAGCTAAAATTTGATGGTTTCGTTGCACTTTCCGAGCCCGTAGGGTATCTGAGTGGTTTAAAAGTACAAGAAAACACTCAAAAGTGACGTTTCTGAAGAATTTTAACAGTTTTCTTGTATCTACGAACGCCAGAATGCATAAAATTGACCTAAACGTCTCCTTTTCCTATTCTGAGTCGATTCTGCATGCTTTAGGTGTGTTTGGTGGCTCAGAACCATCAAAAAACGTTGAAATATAGTTCAAATTCAATAAAAATCGACAAAAATACAGTTTCTAGCTAAAATTTGATGGTTTCGTTGCACTTTCCGAGCCCATAGGGTATCTGAGTGGCTTAAAAGTACAAGAAAACACTTCAAAAGTGACGTTTCTGAAGAATTTTAACAGTTTTCTTGTATCTACGAACGCCAGAATGCATAAAATTGACCTAAACGTCTCCTTTTCCTATTCTGAGTCGATTCTGCATGCTTTAAGTGTGTTTGGTGGCTCAGAACCATCAAAAAACGTTGAAATATAGTTCAAATTCAATAAAAATCGACAAAAATACAGTTTCTAGCTAAAATTTGATGGTTTCGTTGCACTTTCCGAGCCCGTTGGGTATCTGAGTGGCTTAAAAGTACAAGAAAACACTTCAAAAGTGACGTTTCTGAAGAATTTTAACAGTTTTCTTGTATCTACGAACGCCAGAATGCATAAGATTCACCTAAACGTTTCCTTTTCCTATTCTGAGTCGATTCTGCATGCTTTAAGTGTGTTTGGTGGCTCAGAACCATCAAAAAACGTTGAAATATAGTTCAAATTCAATAAAAATCGACAAAAATACAGTTTCTAGCTAAAATTTGATGGTTTCGTTGCACTTTCCGAGCACGTAGGGTATCTGAGTGGCTTAAAAGTACAAGAAAACACTTCAAAAGTGACGTTTCTGAAGAATTTTAACAGTTTTCTTGTATCTACGAACGCCAGAATGCATAAAATTGACCTAAACGTCTCCTTTTCCTATTCTGAGTCGATTCTGCATGCTTTAAGTGTGTTTGGTGGCTCAGAACCATCAAAAAACGTTGAAATATAGTTCAAATTCAATAAAAATCGACAAAAATACAGTTTCTAGCTAAAATTTGATGGTTTCGTTGCACTTTCCGAGCCCGTAGGGTATCTGAGTGACTTAAAAGTACAAGAAAACACTTCAAAAGTGACGTTTCTGAAGAATTTTAACAGTTTTCTTGTATCTACGAACGCCAGAATGCATAAAATTGACCTAAACTTCTCCTTTTCCTATTCTGAGTCGATTCTGCATGCTTTAAGTGTGTTTGGTGGCTCAGAACCATCAAAAAACGTTGAAATATAGTTCAAATTCAATAAAAATCGACAAAAATACAGTTTCTAGCTAAAATTTGATGGTTTCGTTGCACTTTCCGAGCCCGTAGGGTATCTGAGTGGCTTAAAAGTACAAGAAAACACTTCAAAAGTGACGTTTCTGAAGAATTTTAACAGTTTTCTTGTATCTACGAACGCCAGAATGCATAAAATTGACCTAAACGTCTCCTTTTCCTATTCTGAGTCGATTCTGCATGCTTTAAGTGTGTTTGGTGGCTCAGAACCATCAAAAAACGTTGAAATATAGTTCAAATTCAATAAAAATCGACAAAAATACAGTTTCTAGCTAAAATTTGATGGTTTCGTTGCACTTTCCGAGCCCGTTGGGTATCTGAGTGGCTTAAAAGTACAAGAAAACACTTCAAAAGTGACGTTTCTGAAGAATTTTAACAGTTTTCTTGTATCTACGAACGCCAGAATGCATAAAATTGACCTAAACGTCTCCTTTTCCTATTCTGAGTCGATTCAGCATGCTTTAAGTGTGTTTGGTGGCTCAGAACCATCAAAAAACGTTGAAATATAGTTCAAATTCAATAAAAATCGACAAAAATACAGTTTCTAGCTAAAATTTGATGGTTTCGTTGCACTTTCCGAGCCCGTAGGGTATCTGAGTGGCTTAAAAGTACAAGAAAACACTTCAAAAGTGACGTTTCTGAAGAATTTTAACAGTTTTCTTGTATCTACGAACGCCAGAATGCATAAAATTGACCTAAACGTCTCCTTTTCCTATTCTGAGTCGATTCTGCATGCTTTAAGTGGGTTTGGTGGCTCAGAACCATCAAAAAACGTTGAAATATAGTTCAAATTCAATAAAAATCGACAAAAATACAGTTTCTAGCTAAAATTTGATGGTTTCGTTGCACTTTCCGAGCCCGTAGGGTATCTGAGTGGCTTAAAAGTACAAGAAAACACTTCAAAAGTGACGTTTCTGAAGAATTTTAACAGTTTTCTTGTATCTACGAACGCCAGAATGCATAAAATTGACCTAAACGTCTCCTTTTCCTATTCTGAGTCGATTCTGCATGCTTTAAATGTGTTTGGTGGCTCAGAACCATCAGAAAACGTTGAAATATAGTTCAAATTCAATAAAAATCGACAAAAATACAGTTTCTAGCTAAAATTTGATGGTTTCGTTGCACTTTCCGAGCCCGTAGGGTATCTGAGTGGCTTAAAAGTACAAGAAAACACTTCAAAAGTGCGTTTCTGAAGAATTTTAACAGTTTTCTTGTATCTACGAAAGCCAGAATGCATAAAATTGACCTAAACGTCTCCTTTTCCTATTCTGAGTCGATTCTGCATGCTTTAAGTGTGTTTGGTGGTTCAGAACCATCAAAAAACGTTGAAATATAGTTCAAATTCAATAAAAATCGACAAAAATACAGTTTCTAGCTCAAATTTTATGGTTTCGTTGCACTTTCCGAGCCCGTAGGGTATCTGAGTGGCTTAAAAGTACAAGAAAACACTTCAAAAGTGATGTTTCTGAAGAATTTTAACAGTTTTCTTGTATCTACGAACGCCAGAATGCATAAAATTGACCTAAACGTCTCCTTTTCCTATTCTGAGTCGATTATGCATGCTTTAAGTGTGTTTGGTTGCTCAGAACCATCAAAAAACGTTGAAATATAGTTCAAATTCAATAAAAATCGACAAAAATACAGTTTCTAGCTAAAATTTGATGGTTTCGTTGCACTTTCCGAGCACGTAGGGTATCTGAGTGGCTTAAAAGTACAAGAAAACACTTCAAAAGTGACGTTTCTGAAGAATTTTAACAGTTTTCTTGTATCTACGAACGCCAGAATGCATAAAATTGACCTAAACGTCTCCTTTTCCTATTCTGAGTCGATTCTGCATGCTTTAAGTGTGTTTGGTGGCTCAGAACCATCAAAAAACGTTGAAATATAGTTCAAATTCAATAAAAATCGACAAAAATACAGTTTCTAGCTAAAATTTGATGGTTTCGTTGCACTTTCCGAGCCCGTAGGGTATCTGAGTGACTTAAAAGTACAAGAAAACACTTCAAAAGTGACGTTTCTGAAGAATTTTAACAGTTTTCTTGTATCTACGAACGCCAGAATGCATAAAATTGACCTAAACTTCTCCTTTTCCTATTCTGAGTCGATTCTGCATGCTTTAAGTGTGTTTGGTGGCTCAGAACCATCAAAAAACGTTGAAATATAGTTCAAATTCAATAAAAATCGACAAAAATACAGTTTCTAGCTAAAATTTGATGGTTTCGTTGCACTTTCCGAGCCCGTAGGGTATCTGAGTGGCTTAAAAGTACAAGAAAACACTTCAAAAGTGACGTTTCTGAAGAATTTTAACAGTTTTCTTGTATCTACGAACGCCAGAATGCATAAAATTGACCTAAACGTCTCCTTTTCCTATTCTGAGTCGATTCTGCATGCTTTAAGTGTGTTTGGTGGCTCAGAACCATCAAAAAACGTTGAAATATAGTTCAAATTCAATAAAAATCGACAAAAATACAGTTTCTAGCTAAAATTTGATGGTTTCGTTGCACTTTCCGAGCCCGTTGGGTATCTGAGTGGCTTAAAAGTACAAGAAAACACTTCAAAAGTGACGTTTCTGAAGAATTTTAACAGTTTTCTTGTATCTACGAACGCCAGAATGCATAAAATTGACCTAAACGTCTCCTTTTCCTATTCTGAGTCGATTCAGCATGCTTTAAGTGTGTTTGGTGGCTCAGAACCATCAAAAAACGTT